CACCTGGAGGTCTTTTAGAACTTTGCTGTAAAAGGCTCTACTGCTCAAGATGCAAGAGGCATCGCGTGCTGGCTAAACTCATCTACCGCCTACGGCCTTTTAACGTCAGTATAATGCATATCTGGTCACGTGTTTGTGCTGGAAGCGATGACGACAATGCCGATGTGTATATGTTTACGCCCTGAGTATACTTTGTTCAACGCGTGAACTAGAGACTTGAGTTTCACGAGAGAACCCTAATTTTTCAATTTTGCATTTTAGTTTGAACCTTTTAGGATTTTTGATTAGGAGTCAAACGCTTTCAGCCAGAAAAATACTTACTTTATTTTGTTTACGTCGAAAAATTGAGTATGAAAGTATGGCGACAATGTGTGAATGTAATGTGTTATGCATAATTTGTTTTTCATAATCCCAGCGTTTTTTCATGTTCGTGCATGTGACCATTTGACGATTTTTATGTACTTACGTGGCTCCCTTTTTGCTATACCATTTNCTCTGACAAAAAATAATACCACCATTTGAATACATGATCTCGGTCCCCAACTTTTTTAAACTTTGATGAAACACCTTACTTCTTTAAAGTGTGCTTCAAAAGAGTTATGATTTTTGCTATTACAACAACTTCTACGATGTTTGTAAAGTATCCAACCTTGAAAAAAGTTTCCATCTTAATAGAAACAGTTGTTTTTTAAATTCGGCACTAAAAATCTTATTCCAGTTGTGTAGTTGAGACTTTTTCGAAAGCCCTACTTGTATATATTTTTTTAATGATAGATAAAATAATAGTCAAGAGTTTTGTGATAATAACGACTGCGGATTGCTTGAATGTATTTCATAACCAGGTGTTGAAAAAATAATGTAACAAGAATAATAAAGATTTCACGTTACTTGGTATTATTTTATCTGATTTATAGTATACGTTTAAATATGTTAAACATATGGTACTAGATATCATAGCTTTTTTCCAATCCATGTTAAAGATATAAAGTGTTTTTTTTTTCTAAATCTCGAGATATTTGATACCCCAATTAAGACTAACAAGACTAAAAATAATGAATGACCAAAAAACACGAAACTTACTTAACAAAAAATTTTTACGAGGTAGCAAATAAAAATATCACGTAGTAGTCAGGAAATCATTGGATTTTTTGAACTTACAGCAGCTACAGACAACTTTTAATTTACAAAACGTCGATAAAGTCAAATATAATTGTCTTATGGTTAATGATATCCAATTCTCTTTAGATAGTATTATTTAAGGAGCAAAAAAATAAAGTTTTAATACTTTAAATTAAGCAAAAACCAAAAAATTCGTATAGTTTCAGTAAATTTTCAACACGGCTTCAAACATAGTTATATGCCACAATGAAAATTTTTATGTTCTTTTTTTACGTATTTGCAGTTTTATCTGATATCGTACATACTATCCTTATTGTCAAATCTCATCTAGTAATATAATGAATCAGTACGATTTGACAAATTTTTAGTCACTCAAGACCCCTCAAGAATCAAAGTCTCAAATAAAACATAAACTCATAATGGTTGTTTTTATGTCAGCAGGAGTACGACGACTTTGATATTTTGTATTTTCTATTAAACCACAGCACCAGCTTATATACACAAGTCAGCAACGTAGGATAGTCAGCTTATAATTAATTTTTTGTTTTAACGTGGTAATGTAATGTGTACTATCATTCTAGTAGTTGTAAATATGGTCAAGCTGAATGGGACGTATTTAAGGTTTATCTTACATTGCAAGAAAATTGAATATATGAGGAATTTCGGGAGTTAAGCGTAAGTGTAATTGTCACTAATTTGTTGTTCAGTTTTGTTATTTGGAAATTTTTTTCTGGATAAACTTATTCTTATTTATAATTTTTCAAACAGCAACTAGTTTCTGTTATTAATTAATATAAAAACAAGTTGTCTTGTGACAAATCATTTTTAAGTGCATGTCTGACTAAACATGAAATTACTACTGATTTTTGATACAAATCATGAAACAAGATAACTATAAGACATTGGGATAAATAAGGCAGTGATGGAGGAAAGCGTAATGTAATCTGTTCTGTCATTTTAGTAATTGTTAATATGGTCAAGCTTAAATTAACTTATCAAAGGTTTATCTATATTGCATGAACATCGNTTTTTGCAAGTGATTTTTTTTTATTTAGTAGGTCACAACGCGGTGCTGCGTGCCTTTTCTTTGTAATTTTCTACTTGACGAGAGTTTAAATTAGCACCGTGTATTTAATCGATGGAGAGTTTTGTGTACACTGCTATTAAAGTACCCTTCAAACGAGCTGCGAGTGCCGGAGTGTTGGTCTTTGTCGTAAAGTTGGCAGGGACATTGTCACTGTTCAAAAAAAAGAAATTATATACCTGTGAAAATTAATTTTCGTCGGGGCTACTATTAGCCGTTTTACTGAAGATTAAAAAGTTTATTTGTACAAGCTCTATGATTTCCCTTTGAGATGCTTTTGTCTCAAACTTGTTTCTTTCACCTGCAAAGCTAGCTTAATTGACTCATTAAGTAATGAGCAAAATTTATCGTCAACAGTTTTTAGCTTCTTAATTCTTTTGCGGTTTTTTTTTTTTTTTTTTTTTTCTTATGTAACTGTTTTAACTTTTAGACTTGATAAACGTGAAACTTTATTTGAAGAAGCTGTCTAACTTGTAATTACGTCAGTTGGAAAACAAGAGGCTATTGGGCTATGTTATTATGAAACTAAAAATTTGTTGGTAAAACACAATAAAAACGTAATGAACTTATTTTTACTGAAAAAATAAGTCGTTTTTAAACAATCAAGTACCTCCGGGCAGTTTTATTACGCATCAAAATGATTAAAAAACAATTGTTTTTATCGAAGTTAATAGCATCAACATTTGAAGTATTGGAAATGCGAGTCATGATGCGGAAGACTTTAAAGAAGGGGGGGGGGTGAGAAGCGGAGTTGCAACTCGCTGCGAGCCAATCTCAGTTTAGTACGCTTGACAAAGTCAAATGAACGCGCGACTGCACACACGTATTTAATGAAAACTTTTAATTCCTATTATTGTTTCAATTATTCATGCCCGCCATTAGAGCAATATGGTGCCATTAGCGCCGATGTGAGCTTCAGATTTTTATTTTCATCTCTCATTATTGGATTTTAATTAAGAAAGTTGACTAGTGGTGGTGCGCTGATTCGCTCTTTAACGAGTGGTCAGGTTTTTATGTTCAGTCGAGCTAAATAGAGTTTTTAGGCACGTGTCCTTTTTGGCTGAGTCTTATTAATAGACTTTTGCCTGAGAGGTGCACTAGATAATTCAGACGGCTTTTTTTACTGTGATATTCTAAGCTTGGAAGTGCTGGTCAATAAATTTTAATGTAGAGCATAACTAAATAATAAATGCAGAGAATCCAATGAAAGAAGTTCAATTGAAATGCACTACATTCTATTTATAGGTATCGCTTACATCAAAATAGCTTTCTTCATGTGAAATCCTGAGCTTAAATTTTTATTTTATTTGAAACAGTTAATTTGACTTTTTTAACCTTTAACCAATTTTAAAATTTTAACTCGAGTACTCATTCAAGTTTAATTTATACTTTTTATGTATCGATAAAAAGTAATCTAATAAAAAAAAAAAGTATACACAATGACGGTAAAATAATCTATCGTATAAGCTTACGTAAAATTTTAATCTTAAATGCAGAAAAATATTTTGATGAATAGAATAGTTAGTAAAAATTTACTTACAAACCCAATTAAGTATAAAAGATTTTTTTTAATACAGAAACAAAAACCATATTAAAAACATTTTTAGTCACATGATCAGAAAAACAGATTCTATTTCTTGCATTTTTAATGATTCTTGTAGCATAAAAGCATCATAGTTGATTGAAAATTCCTTAACCCCCAACTGTTGTTTCCGTAAAGACTACGTGATAAAGGAACATTTAACACACTTCTCTTGAAACATTAGTTTCTTTNAAAAAAAAAAAAAAAAAAAAAAAAAAAAAAAAAAAAAAAAAAAAAAAAAAAAAAAAAACGAAGAAAAAGCAAGTGCGTAGCGACAAGTCATCAGGGGTCAGAAATAAAAACAACGGCTCCCCTACGGAGCAGAACAATCTCCCCCTTTTTTGGATCCCTCGCTTAGGTGTCCAAAATACCCGATCGGACAACGCTTTATGTTTTTATCTGGCAGTACAGAAAAAAAGTTCTACTACCGAGCTTGACACTTCGCCGGTGAAGTACCCGCACAACCCCGTCTTCTCTTCAAAAAAGCAGCAGTACCAGTCGTTCTTTGGTATCTATCAATACCACACTTTACCCGATCTCGATTGGCATTATTTTTTCCGTACCACCAAAACAAGAACCTTTCCGATCTTCCGAGTTTTCATTTTGACAAAACGAGTCACCTGTCGATCCTCACCACACAGCCACTACCGATAGATCGGCAAACTGGCCAATCAAAATTACACCAAGCAGTTTCACTTTGAACTTCATTCGTCACACTGGTCCCACATGTGCACTAACGAGAACAAAACAGATCTTGCGCCCAGCTTCGAAAAAATCCAAAACCCAGTCTTCCCTTCGCGCGCGTAAAACGCTTCAGTCAACGTCCGCGATTCGACTGCGAGCGCTCGGCCAGATGCGCGAAGCCTCCCACCCATGCCAGTATAGCTCCTGTTTCTCTCCCTCTACCCGAAAACACGTCGGGTGCCACTGCGCGCTGCCACCCTTTTCTGCACTACTGTGTACAAGCTGGCCTCTGGCAAGGGAGACAGCGAGTGTGAGGGAGTGACGACGAGGACGGTCACCCTCTGCTCTGTCTGTCTGTCTCCCTTCTCCTCCTGATATGCTCCTCCCTCGCTAGGAACCCCTTTTCCCGAAGCCTCTCTCTGTACTCCGTACGCGTCTCTTGTACTTCTCTCTGCGAGGGATTAAGTCGAAGTCCTTTCGCCCGCACGTGAGATGCTGCTTCGTGTTTTCGAATTTATTTTCTTTTTTTACCTACGTCTGAAGTGTGGGCGTAGGCACTACAGGCACCAGTGCGTAAAGATTTACTCGGAGTAAATGGAGGTGGCTCAGTGGTGAGGGTATATCCGTGGAATAACTTTCTTGTATTACAACTGAGCGTCAGCATGGTAAGTGCATGTTTTTTACACAGTTATTAATTTTCGTTGGATAGTTCGATGGATAAATCACAGAGTTGGTAGAAGTATTTTTAATTAATTTTTTTCTTTTATGTACAAAAGATGCAAGATTCTAACATGTAGTAATTGGAAAAAGAAAATGGTTATTATTAGAACAAGATTGCAGAAACTGACCTTATTAACAAAAGTAGAACTAACATCATGTGCACCAAAATCATGTAAACCAAGAGATCGTGTTAGCCATAAGCGATTGATTTTTTAAAATTTTTTTGCATCGATAGCTTGCTCGGGAAGGTGAACTTCGCAGTGAAGTTCTACTTTATACTGCGTGTAACATCAAGAAGTTGAACTTCAAATGTATTGAGAGTGACAATTACCAAGTGGATAGTTAACTGAGTGTTCTATCAGCGTTTCAAGCCACTTTTTGCTACTTTAAATAAAATAATCAAATCGTCAGTACTTTTATTAAATCTTGATATAATAACACTTCGGCGCAAAGAGGTTACTTTACACGCAGTGCTGAAATGTTTCTAAGCAGGGCTGTAACATCCTTTTACAACAAGTCTGTGTAGATTTTAATTTTGATGGCTTGGTTAAAGATTGGAGAGTAAGCTTCTTTGTAATCAGAGAGTGATTACTTTTCATCTGTCTTTAGAATGACAGGTCCTTGCAGTAGCGATTTGATGCAACCTTTTCTCTCTAGAAAAAAACAGAAAGGAAAAGATCATCAGTATCGGATAAAACACTGGCCGAGACAAAAGTAAATTAACTTTAGTCTCGTCGCTTGACAATTGAACCGCAAAAGTGTGGCAGAGGAAAAAACGGATGGAAAGAAAAGAATCAGAGAATGCCAGCGAGACTCAAAGGAACCGCGGTAGCCCTCATTCACGACTTTTTGGGTCTCTAAATGAGCTTTTAGTATCTCATTTTCGTACAAAAAAAGAAAAAAATATATAACTTTCGCTCCCTATTATACATCAGCTGTATCTCAAAGAAGCAGCGTTTACTCGATTTATATCACGAAACGCCCCACTACCGATAAAGCATCAAAGCGGAGTAAGATAAAAAAAGGGGGGACCCTCATGTAAGTACAAAAAAATTTCCCAGCAACAGCAGTAGTAGCTCTAGCTGACGTAGAGCAAGAAAGCCAAATTTATCCCAGAGAGAGAGAGGGAGAGAAAGTAAAGGTGAGGCACTGTATGCCCGTAATACTAGAAAAACGAGCAGGAGAAACTCTGGCCGTATGTGAGAAGAAAAAGTAAGCCCTCAGGCTATGGATCTCCCTTTTTCCCCCCTTTGTTAGGTAAAGGGAAAAGACCGGGGATCGTTCTTTACTACAAGACCCTTTGATCAGAGAGAAATTTTTACGCCCCGTAGTCTCTTTTTTGCGTAAACACGAGGATAGTACGAGAAGTGAAGGGGCCTCGGAGAAAGATAGTCCTAGACATATCTGTTACAGACACGTGGCTCGGGTGCTTTGTTTATGATGCTGGGTTACTCCTACTCCATGAGATACTGCAAAGAGAATCGTCTTTCTGTAGGTACATTGGATTTGTGTTTATGACAGGTAATATTTGAGACCATATTGTACTCACGGAATACATTAACCAAGCGACAGGAGTACGGAAGTTTTGTGTACACTGTTTACTTTATAGTCTTTTTTCTGTTGATTTGTTTTAGTACGAATATGTATTCTCCATTTTACAAAACAGGTGCCGCTTTTCGTTTTTCTAATACAAATACTGTGTTTCGGATCAATCGAGCATATAATTGAAAGTAAAATATGACAAAGTTTTCTTGTCTTGTATATATAGTAAAATAAGAAAAATGTCTTTGAATATAAATGACGAGCGTTGTCATGTTAAAAAGTTGTTGTTGCTTTGTTTTAAAAAAAGTATGCATCCTCCTCAGATCAGAAATAATATTGAAACTATAAAGATCAACTTAATTATTTTTGAAATAAAGTTTTCGTTTCCAAAAAGAACATCTTTTGTCTCTCATCTTTTGGTGCGTGGTAGTTTTGTTAGCTACGTACTGTTTGACACTCTGAATATGGTATCTTAATAAAAATTACCATCTCCATCATCTCACTCTTATCAAAAATACAATTAACGTGTGCGGTATGCTGGTCCGCTTAGACGAAAAATAGGGCTTGTCCAGGATCTCAAAAGTGTGGAACGAGTGTCGTAAGGACGTCAGTGTTAAACCCGAAAGGTTTAGCTTATGTTATAGAACTGACTTGTAAAAGTCATTAAATGAGAATTGTATTTTGCACTTTTTCTTCCAGAATCACTTTGAAGCTATTATAGTTTATGTATTTTTTATCAAATCTGACGTAAAACAGACATTTTCCACTTGGACATTATTTTGTGCTGTCGCACGGGGATGGACGAGCAAAAACATTTTTTTCACAGATGTATCTCTTCGATTCCTCTTTCATCGTGGTTTCCTGAATCACGATCACGCCGTCGTCATAAACTTGCTCTCGTGTTATCACGTGTATCTATCTGGTATAAAAGAAAAAAAAAGAAATAACGATTCTGCTGGTCTGATTAATTCTGAAAGGGTTGGATTTTTTTCGCGTAAATCTTTTTTGTGCCGACACTGGTACGCTCGTTTCGATATCTGGACGAAAAACAAATTGAAATTTTTTTCACGAATCGAGCAAAATATATTTTTGCCCGTTTTTGCAGGGATCATCGCACAATTAGGCAATGAATGAGAAATAAAAATCAAAAATTCAACCCTCAGGTTTTAATGAGATGCAGTACTGTTTAATGCTACATTCTATCCCCTGACAATGTCATTGTTGTATTATACATATTGGATTTTTTAATTAAAAAGTCACTGATTGACAATGAATTCCGAGCACTGTAAAATTCCGAAAATTTGATTGGAAAACCCCTCAATTAGTTTTTACGAGAGTAGTGAGTAAAGTCTTGTGAAATGTGTTATGAAATTGAACACCATCCGATTTTTTCACGCTCAAGCGTTACGCAAGCAATTTTTCCCAAACACGTATGCTTGTGCATTCTCATAAATTTCACCGTCAGTAGATGCTATGTACGTAGAGATCAATTTGAATTTCTTGTTCAAACATTTTTACGTTTTAAAATTCCTGGCTTTTCAAGCAAACAATCAGCCTACGTGCGCCACTGTTTGCTTCGTAAATATGGTACACGTGCACTTAATAATTGAATGATTTTCGTAAAAATGTAAAAATTATGGAAAATAAAAATTTTACGTTTTTTAACTGAAATCTGACATTACTGCCATGGCATGCCTACTTTCAAACGCTATATAACAGTTTGGCGAAAGACAAAGAAAGAAAGAAGAGCTAAAAAGGGTGTGAAAAGAAGCGTCTTTCTTGAAAACTCAATTTTTTTTTTTTCAAAAAAAGCAGCCACAAGAAATTAGCGACCGTACAAGAAGCAAAAAAGATTGGGGAACGGGATCTCGTTGGGAATTTGTCACTCTCCTTTTCCATAAGAGCGCGCTCGTAATGCAGATTCTCAAAATTTTTTGTGGTGCAGAATTCAAATGCTATTATGTACTTTNCCGACGAATAACCCACGGTTAGGTATCGCGCGACGTCGTCTACAAGGTAGACGACAAATACAATTGCTGTAGCTATAGCAATAGTAAAGTAGGTGCTGTAGCAGTATAGCTACATAAAAACAAAATAGATTGCGTGTATAACGCGTAGAACGCGTAGAACGCGTTAGCATACGTGAGATACACTGGCAGACTCGTATAGGTCGCGGGTGTAAACAAAGCAGCGGCTTTGTTTACGTGACGATTTTGAGTCAATGTGGACTTCCAGCACTTTCATTTGTCCTGACGAGTGCGAGCGAAAAAGAAAATAATATTTTGAGACGAAATATTATTTTCGACTGCCAACAAGCTTAGCCTGTGAAATCGGATTTTCACAGGCTGCGAACGCTGATCTACGTTCACAGTAGAGTAGAGTACACAGCGCGTATACGACGGTATACAGGTATACATGGCTGTTGGCTTCTCGCGTCTCGTAGAGCGACGAGAAGTAGTGTACGTGTGCAAGGTACACTATATACATAACTGTATTTAAAAATTGTACCACACACATGCACAAATAAAAAAGAGAGAGTCGAGGGCATCGATATCCCTATAGCTGACAGCTTTAAATATAAGGCTGTATTAAATTTTAAATTTTCTTTAAAGCCTTAAGGCAGAAATTTAGGCGGAAAGTTGCGTCCAACTAACGGTTTGGCGCAAATTCCCCCTACCTGTCAGCTCTCTCTCCCAAGCTAATCTCTGCGTTGCGGCACAGTACACTTACTGCCAGTAAATTTATATTGTGTAGCGCGCATCTAGTAAATNTGCCTTTGGCGCATAGAATCGAAGTAGACGTGGCAGAAAGAGGCCAAACTTCCGGCGAATTTTACTCTGCTTCTTCTACTTACATCTAACGTTTGTGTGGAAGGGGAGGAGTATATGTGTCTGTGCATGCTGGGTTCCTCCAAACCAGCGCACCTTCTGTAGTTCGACTTTTACTACTGGCATTAGTAAATACCTAGTACGAGTGAATTTTGGAGGAGGCCGTGGCTACTATCTCTAGTGTTTACAGCATTTTAGCAGTATATCTTTACTTGATCTTATATATTGATTGTAGAAGTTTTTTTTTCAGATAGTTTGCATGATCGAAAGTTTTTTGAAAAAAAAATTAACCTATTTCCAAGAGGGAAGTTATTTCCTTCTGATTTTAGTTCATCCTAATTATTTAACCAATTAGAAACTTTATTTTACCAAATTTTTATTTATCTGATTTCACATTCCTTAAATTTTTAGCTTTTCTTACCTCAACTTTTCCCAATTCACCAAATCTACAGTTCTGAATTCTAAAATTTTTTAAATATCTTTCTACCATCATCCAATATTCTTAAAGAAAAAAAGGAATTGAATTTAATTAAATTCTTTAATATATTGTACTGTTAGTCTGAAGTGTAGGTTAACTGTGACGAGACAAACTTCAATACTGAAGAGCATATATATGTTGGGAGGGAAAAATTAGGGTTTCATTATTGAAGAAACTACCTTATCATTAACGATTATGTACCCACAATTCTACTTGAGTTTCTTTGCCAAGAGATGTAGCTTGACATCTATATGTGCATAGCAATTGGTGATCTGACTGTTGAAGACTGAGAAGTCTTTAGAATTAAGGCATATGCACTTGACATTTGAAATCGAATTTTCCAGCTAATGAGCGTCATGTACGACTCAAATCGTTCAAAAGCCAATTAAAAAATAATAATGCAAGCAGTCCAACTGGACTGAAAAAAAGAAAAGCACAAAGCAGTCGAACTGCCTTAAATTATCAAAAAGTAACCAGGATTAGCTCTCAGCTCCGCTTATTTTCATAGATCCGTTTTTCTTCTTCGTTTCATTAATCGAACACTCCCACTATTCTAAATCTTCCAGCAACATTCGTCTTTTCCCTTCTTCCTGCGGAGCATCTGAACCATAAAAGCATCCCCCTGTTCTTTGTACACGTTTCCTCAATAGCGTAGTAACAACGGAACCACCAGCAGCACACTCGGAGCCCCGATTAATCCTCGGGAAAATTAGTCGAAACTCGTCCAGTAGCCACAACCGCCCTAGCGACGATAATTCACGTACATGCGTCCTCGACCGGGCGCGCACTAGCCATTATCGGCCAATATCGAGACCACGCTGTAGTTAGCCCTCCCCCTTTTCCCAAAGCGTTGGAGCTGCAGATGGCGAAATGGAGAGCCAAGTAGGATTTTGGAGGGCTCCTGCGATATTAGCGATGCCGTTATCGTGACGGCTGCATCGCATCCAAAGCCGAAGACGCAATCGACGATTAAGGGACTTGAAGCAGTTGCTTCCCATTAACGCATCGTGGGCTGGAAAGGGAGATGTTTACGGAGGCAAGAAGTCCTCAAACTGAGTCGACAGCCAGGGAGATGCTTGTATACGTATGCATGCTCTCAAGAGTAATCCCGGCAATCGTTTTTTTTTGTTTTTGTTTTTTTTGTTGAATCTTGAAAATTCTCACCGTCCTGGTTCAAGCCGTGGCCACGTGTTTAAAGTTTCTGCGATCTCACTCGGATCTTGAATTACTCGGTGGGGCTTTGCTACCGTTGAACAACAGACTTTACCTGTAATTAGGGAAAGAAACGTTTTGCTGGGCTAAGTCGGTTTTTGTCGTAAGTGCACAGGCAAAGATGGAGCCGCACGCTCGGGGGTTTTTTAATTTAGATTAGGATCAGGCTTCTGAAATGCATGTACGCTCTCAGGATTCGGCCCTTTTTTGTAAATTGAATTTTTCAAGGGATCGGGTTACTGGAGAAGTTTTCCCGTTTTAAGATTCTAATCTGCTAGTTCGATAATTGAAATCAAGGTTGTTGGAAAGTAAAAATTGAACAAACGAGGGATATGGAAAATCGTAGTTGATTGCTATTTATCATGAATAACTATAACTTTATGAGAAGTTGTGGCATTCTATTTTCTGAGTTGCATTTTTTTGTCAATGTTTTCAACTATGGGTGGGTCAATAAATAAATTGAAAAACATAAAACAGTGGCTCCATCAACTCTCTTTATGAGGTAAAAAAGCAAATACAAGTTTTTTTTTGCGAAATTAAGTATACTTAATTTAGATTAATTCAGGTTACTTGACTGTCTGTTTGTAATGTACAACTATTTGTGAGTTTATTAGTCTGTGTATTATCTATCTTTTAGTATTTCTCTTGAAAAGAATACTTGGGTGGATCTTAAAATTTTTTTAACATCACTGATTCTTACGTAGTCTTTTCTTTGCTCTCGAGCAATGATTATCAGAATCCAATTTAACACTGGCTGTATACCGTGTATGAACCATTTGTTTTACTTTGTTTTCTATTTTTGTATACTAAGAGAACGTACAAAAAAAAAGCTTTGGACGTGAAACTCATGTGATACAGGAAAAAAGACATTTCAAAATAACGTGATGTAAAGTTGTTATTCACATGGACACCATAATTATGTAAATGTAGGTACGTACTTGTATTATGTAGCGATTCATGCGGGTCTTTGTACATCCTATACATTACTTTTCCCGCAAAGTGTGAGTTATAGGTACCCGTAAAGTGTCCCTTTCCGGGATACGTAGCCAAGGATATAAAAAATAATAAGATTCTAATGCGAGGTCTAATTATTGCCATCGTAGCTTACAAGACACCAGTGTTGCAATTAACAATTCAGTAAGAAAGTTCAGTAAAAATTAAATTATATTACGAAGGGTTTTAGTTTAAATTCACTGATCTATTTAAAAAGATGTGTGTGTGAGAGAGAGAAAAAGTGCTAGAATTTTTTTCTTGTTTTTTTTTTTTTTAGCATAAATGATCATTTTTTTCGTGATGGCTACACTTGTAGGAACCAAGAGAATAGAGTTTGGACCTTATGTTTGTACTGTGACGGTGAGATACCGTCGAGCCATTATCGGTAGGCTAGGACCGATAGGGAAAGAAGGAAAAGGGAAAAACGGAGAGGACAGTTAGGAAAGGATGGAAAGGGAAGAAAAAGCCGAAAAGAGATCAGATTAGCTTGGGCCAGCGAACGCGCGTGAAGCGAATTTTTGTTGGCGGTTGCGAGAAGCAATTTTCTCAAGGCGATTTTTCCCACCCACGAGAAGCGAATTCTGTTTTGGAGGACGTGAGACGCGTCCTCTGGAGTGTTTCCGTTCCTGCGATTGTTGTCGTGGCGGCTGTGCTTGAGCTGTCCCCGGTACAGTGTTTAGTGCTGAGTGTCCGGGTCCTGATGGGATAGCAGACGACGCCGGACTTAGGGTCACCGAGGCCGATACCGTCGATCTCGGCCTTCGAACGCTGCCAGTAGGGACGCCTACTGACCTCAGCGTAACCGCTCCACTGCTCCCATGTAGACTTGGCCTGCGAGAGGCATCGTCGGGGAGCGACCCCGCTTCGCCGTAAGTACCTGCCAACAGGCAGTTTATTGTAAAGGGCAGCGGCCATCGATTAGCCCGTGTTGTCTGCCCGGTTCGCGTTTTCGCGCCGCGAGCACGTCGAGCAAGCGCGCTCGACGTGCGAGAATCACACACACACCCGCGAGTAATATTTTGTATTCCTTTTCATATCATTTAGCTGAATATATTTATTATTTTAAACTTGATCGTGAGTACTTCATTTCTGTGTGTGCCCGATCCCCCTTTGTGCCGTGTTATAGTCGTCGCGAGAGGCGACGACGTTCAAGGTCGCCGCGATACCTGATCCCGCAGCGGTGTCTCGGTGAACGAGACCCGCAAAATATTTTACAGGGAGTGTCACCGTTGGGTATCCGGGCAACACTGGCCCGGTCGAAGTGGAGAGACTCCGCCTCGTTCATCCGCGTGGTTCACCCCTTAACATTGGCGCCCGACGAATAACCCACGGTTAGGTATCGCGCGACGTCGTCTACAAGGTAGACGACAAATACAATTGCTGTAGCTATAGCAATAGTAAAGTAGGTGCTGTAGCAGTATAGCTACATAAAAACAAAATAGATTGCGTGTATAACGCGTAGAACGCGTAGAACGCGTTAGCATACGTGAGAGACACTGGCAGACTCGTATAGGTCGCGGGTGTAAACAAAGCAGCGGCTTTGTTTACGTGACGATTTTGAGTCAATGTGGACTTCCAGCACTTTAATTTGTCCTGACGAGTGCGAGCGAAAAAGAAAATAATATTTTGAGACGAAATATTATTTTCGACTGCCAACAAGCTTAGCCTGTGAAATCGGATTTTCACAGGCTGCGAACGCTGATCTACGTTCACAGTAGAGTAGAGTACACAGCGCGTATACGACGGTATACAGGTATACATGGCTGTTGGCTTCTCGCGTCTCGTAGAGCGACGAGAAGTAGTGTACGTGTGCAAGGTACACTATATACATAACTGTATTTAAAAATTGTACCACACACATGCACAAATGAAAAAGAGAGAGTCGAGGGCATCGATATCCCTATAGCTGACAGCTTTAAATATAAGGCTGTATTAAATTATAAATTTTCTTTAAAGCCTTAAGGCAGAAATTTAGGCGGAAAGTTGCGTCCAACTAACGGTTTGGCGCAAATTCCCCCTACCTGTCAGCTCTCTCTCCCAAGCTAATCTCTGCGTTGCGGCACAGTACACTTACTGCCAGTAAATTTATATTGTGTAGCGCGCATCTAGTAAATGAAAGGACCATGACAACGCAGACACAAGTGCTTACAATCTGGCCACAAACGTATACGGTAAGCTCGTCAACGCACCCAACGTACTCCCACCTATCCCAATATTTGGCTGTACCTGTTGGAACCATAAGTCCAGCCTGGTCGGGGGGGAGTCTCCCGCCTATGGCAGGAAGAAATTCGGGGTCAAACAGGTCGTACGTCGACTCCGGATGCCGTGACTTAGGACAAATTGTCCGGCAGTGGAACGTAAAGTTCACCGGGGAAAGTCACGACAACTTTGACACCTTCCTCACGCGCATTACGGAGTGCCGCACAGCTTCCGGATTGACAGAAGAAGAGCTTTTCCGAGCTCTACCGGAGCTTATGACCGGCATGGCAGCGACATGGTTCCGCAACGAATGCGACCAATGGATCAGCTGGGCTGATTTCGTAGCCGAGGGGCAGGAGTGGTATGGCTCAAACGAGGAGGTACAGCGCCGTCTAACCTGGGATGCGCAAATGCGCACCCAGTACGCTGGTGAGCCCGTACGAAATTTCTTAACACAGATTAGAAATATCGTGCGGCGAATTCAACCCTCGTGGCCAGTTGAACGTCAACTGGACCTGTTTCACAGGAACATGCGACCCGAACTACAGGATCGAGTTAGACGGGACGAGGTGTGCAGCCTGGCAGAGCTGCTACGAAAAGCCACTGAAGCCGAATATCTCCTGGAGTTTAGGAGTGCGTTCCGGGAGCCACCCCTGCCTGAACACTTTTACCTGCCAGAATCGGTGTACAAGCCTAAGACTAAGGCTGTGGAGGCCAGGAAACAGCCCAAGGTTGCTGGTATCAGCAAGACGCAACCCGGGAGCGCAAGCTCGCAAGAGATAACTGCCCTTCGAAAGGCAATCGAGGAGCTGCCAAAGAAATTGGCTAGTCCTCCTGAAGTAGCTGGGTACAAGCTACAAGCGCTATATGACCCTGGCGCTACACACACTGTCATGCAAGCAGTCGAGATCCAGATAGCGAATGCCTGCGGTCGTCAACTACGTCTCACGCTGGGAAGCGCGGCGATGGCCGACAGACGACCAGCACCCACCTTAGGCCTCGTCCCCCTACCCTTCGAGCTTGGAGGGGTGAAACGAGACGTGGACGTCATAGGACTGCCCGAGTTATACGCTGATTGCTATGTCAGCGCTAACTTAATCAACGCTTTCGGGACCGTCCAGGACCCAGTCAATAGAGTCCTGGTGATAAAAGGACAAGAGATCAAGGTTCCTCTGGAGGTAGCGGGGCTGACGGCATCGGGCGAGGTTCGACTCCCCGCCATAGGGCTCAACGAAATTTCGTCCAAGCAACAAGAAGGGTTGCAGACACTATTGGACCGCTACGTGGAGCGTGAAGCTCCTTTACGATGCACTACGTGGGTCGAGCACGAGATCGAGGTCACGACCTCGCGACCTATCAAAACAAAGTGCAACCCTGCTTCAGACAAAATCCAGGAGGTCATACACGCCCACGTGAGTGAGATGCTCGAAAGTGGCGTGGTCGAACCGTCTAATAGTGTCTGGGCAAGTCCGGTGGTCATGATACGCAAAAAGGACGGAAAGTATCGATTTTGCGTTGACTACCAGAAGGTAAACGCTGTGACAGTACCCAACGCGTACCCTTTGCCTCACATGGATAAGATCCTGCGCAAGCTGAGATGGGCGCGTTTTATTTCGACTCTCGATCTCGGCAACGCGTACCATCAAATTCCGCTAGCTGAGAAGGATAAACCGATATCGGCGTTTACGGTGCCAGGCAAGGGACTGTTTCATTTCCAACGGTTGCCATTTGGCTTGAGTAATGCGCTGGCTACGCTCCAGCGACTGATTAACCGCTACATTGGGCCAGAGCTCGAACCATATGCCTGTACCTGCCTCGATGACACACTAATTGTCACGGAGACATTTGAGGAGCATCTGAAATGGCTAGAACATGTGCTAAAACGCGTTCGTGACGTAGGACTCACCCTCAACCTAGAAAAAAGCGAGTTCTGTCAATCAGAGATAAGATACCTCGGTGTCCTTGTAAACCGAGACGGTTTACGTGCGGATCTGGCCAAGTTAAAGCCAATTACGGCATTTCCAGCTCCAAAGAGTCTGAAAGGGCGTAGGCGGTTCCTTAGCATGGTCTCATGGTATAGGAAGTTCCTGCCAAATTACTTGACGGTAGTAGAGCCTCAGCAATGGCAGGAGAAGAGCCCCCTTGTAATGACTTGGGGTCCGAAGAAGAAGTGGTCAGAGCCCCTCAACCACCGTTGGAAAGCGGCGCTCAGGCGAAGCGCGACCCGCCTAACGCGAGCCTAAATGATGTAAGAGAGGCTTTCAGGCCAGCTGAGCCAAATCGAGGCCGCCCGCGTAAAGCGATCGTAGTGTCGAAGCCATTCGCCGCGGCTAAGACACCTGCGGGCGATGGCAGACCATGCGACGATGTCCGAACATGCGACCGAGCGATGGGTCCATCGCCAAATGACGCGCGATGCTAGCGACCTCGACGACTAACGAGATGTTAGTTTTGTAAGCGCCTCCACCCAAACCGACCCTTTTTTTTTTTCTTTTTCTTCTCTCTCCCAGTAATCGTCCCTAGAGCCTTCCTGGATGGCGCCTAGAAGGTAGAGTTGGATACCTCCGGTATTCAACGTCTAGTCGGGGGGTTTGACGGTGAGATACCGTCGAGCCATCATCGGTAGGCTAGGACCGATAGGGAAAGAAGGAAAAGGGAAAAACGGAGAGGACAGCTAGGAAAGGATCGTCAAGCGCGCTCGACGTGCAAGAATTACACACACACCCGCGAGAAATATTTTGTATTTCAGTTTATATTATTTAATTGAATATACTTCTTATTTTAAATTTACTCGTGAGTGCTATCTTTCTGTGTGTGCCTGATCTTTGTGTCGTGTTAAAGTCGTCGCGAGAGGCGACGACGTTCAAGGTAACCGAGATACCTGATTCCGCAGCGGTGTCTCGGCGAACGAGACCCGCAAAATATTTTACAGGGAGTGTCAACGAGGGTATCCGGGTAACACAGGCCCGGTCGAAGTGGAGAGACTCCGCCTCGTCAATCCGCGTTGTACACCCTGTAACAGTATATAAGCTGCAAGAAAAGCCGATAAAGTTGTAGTGCGAGTTGGTAAGGAATCTTATGTTACAGAAAAAGAAAAAAGTGTTCTTGTACATTATCATTTTTAATGCTTACGAGCTGTCACAGAGATTGTCGAAATAGCCCTAGTTATTGTACTATTCGCGTTAACAGTCTAATAAAAGTATATGACAAACTATATGTTTTTTTAATCTTGGAAAAGTATTTTGCAATCTAATTGACCAACTGTCACTTTAAAATCTAATCTGTGATTGTTGAAAGTTTTTAAAGTTTTACGTAAGAAATCAAGTCTTTTTATGAAAGAACAAAAAGCTAACGCAAAAAATGTTGAAGATCGAGGCGCCTCAAGTTGTCATTAGTACATATAAACACGCAATTGTGAAAAAGGGCTCATGATCCATACTAACACGTTACTCAATCTTGAAGTAAAAAAGCTTTCAATCGATCATCATAAATATATAAAATTGTTTATCAAACTGGGTAACTACGTCTTACAGTAACACACGAGCTTCGACCCACAAAGTCACAAAAGCTGCTTCTCTCTCCTTTTTACACCGTACAGCTGGTACAACACTCTCTTTTATCACTGCAACTCTATTACGAGTGCCTCCCATGTCGCCAACTTTATTTCGTCCAGCCTTCCGTCAACGTCCATTCTCGTTCCCTCCGCCGTACATCTCGGCTGAACGGGGAGCGACGACAAGGGAAGAGAGGACACAGTTCTCTCCCTCCTGCGAGTCCTGCGTTGCGGGAAATTTTCGTTCCTCCGTAGCCGAGTTCAATTTACTTGGTCAAGTTTTATCGTGTCAATATCAGCAGCGTCATTTTCACAAGGAGAAAGAGCTTAAAAAAAGGACAAAATAAATCTCGCGTCTATCGACGTAATACGAAAAAAGATTGACGTTTAGCAAAAAGGTGCGCGTTTACATGAACGTAATGTCGCACCCAGCCAGCATACTTAAACAGACTCCCTCGAAAAATCTGGTAGGAGATCACTGACACCTGTAATTTTTTTTTCAATCAGCTCGAGTCAACTCATGTTTTTTTTTTTACCGAAGCTCGTTGCAAGCTCATCCCCCTCGTCGATCCCTCCTAGTGTAAAGCTAAGAGAATCTCCCTCTTCGGAGAGTAATTCGGAGCAGTGGCGTGTAATCCAGCAGTGGAGCGCGCAGCTACCGTATAAATCCCTCCTCACTTCAAATGCTAATGAGTCCCCTGCGAGTGATACATTTGCCGGTGTTTAAGCGCAAACTTACATCCCCCACCCCCCACCCTATACTGTACCTGTATTCAGGGGAAAGTGGTTGCAGTCTCTACGTATTCCGGACGTGAGTGCTAATCAGAGTCTCTTTCTAGCTTTAGCACTGGTGTTTTGCCCCACTGCGGCGTAAATTGTGAATCGCGCGTTTATCTCTGTATAGATATACGGAGGAGCAGTGTGAGGAGAGAGGGTCTTTACCTTTGATTCGTGGAAAAGCAAAGTTAATTAGCGCTTCACTTGCTTGGCGCGTATACATACTTTCAAATGGCCGTGTTTTACAAGGGGGTAAATGTTAATACCCCACTCTTGGGTACGGGGATCGTAGTGATTCCCAAGAAGCGCTTATGTGGGCTCATGTATTTTTTGGCTTTTTGACGAGTAATTATTTGCAGAAAGATTCTCTCGATCAAAATTGCCTTGATCACTGGGGAGATATAAGACCTTGTGCTTCTACCATATTAGTAAGTTAGGAGACATTCTCATGACAAATGATGGTATCATAGGGATAAAAAAAGGAAAAAAAAAAAAAAAACAGGTACGCGAGAGTTGAGAAATCCCAAAACTACCTCTACTATCTCTTTGCGCCATTGGCATGGAGGTTGATTAAAAATTCTCAGTGAAATCTACTTATCCTGATCCCCTGTCTGAAAAACGTGAACCTCGAAAACTTTTGGGCCGTTGGTGACTTCCGTCGAAAGTTCGGATCCGAACGGTAATAAAAATGCCTAATACGGGGCTGAGTGGCTACAAGAGTCGATTGGCAGATATAATACATACAAAGGCGTAGTAGAAATGAAGAACCGAGTCAGGGGGGCGGGGGGCGCAAAGCCGCGATGGTGAGTATTTCAGCAGCTACTGCAGAGTGGCAGGGGCTTAACCTACTTTGACGCCTACACGCCATCGACTGACTGACTAGGTACTCTTGCCATCCTCGTGTACACTCAGCATCGGGGGTAGGAGCGGTTGGGCAGAGGAGGAGGAGGAGGGAAAGTTATGCAGACCCCGTTTCCCCGGCACAATAAAAGAGGAATGAAAAGCAGCAGCTGCAGAAGACAAAGGAAAGAGGCTGGCACGCTGCGTATAGCTATCGAACAGTCATTCAGGCTTGATAGGCATCTAAATATGCTCCTCTGCGCTGTACCGACTGCTTGTTGCTGTTATTGCGATTGCGAGTTGCTTTTTTTATACGTACGACCTTACCAAGTGAGTTCCTGTATCTTCGTGCACGACAACGAAGAAAATAAGTTTTAGTTTGCTTAACTCTCTGAGAGGTGCTTTACGTGGATCATAGTAAACATACTGTGTTACAGAAGTCAGTATGGCAATTTGGAGCTCGAATTTTGAGTGAAGATATCCTTACTTGACTCAACTACCTCTACCAAAAAGAAAAATAGTTTTTTATTTATTCCATTTTTAGAAGTCTTACGTAAAATTTACCAAGCTCCATATTTGTTTGACCCTTATATGTGTTCTCTAAAGTTCGGACACCACATGTCTTTTTTTTAAACTGCCCTGCATCTCAATCAATAAGCCAGGCCTGCTTTTAATATTGATTGTGGAATTTTGATTCCACCTCAGTGTTGATGTTATTACGTGAAACAGTTTTAACTTTGTGTACCTGTCGATATTTCAAACTTGTTTTCTTATACATGATGCTTTTTTTAAGATTCGGTATCTGTATCTCTATTTTTGATCTACGTATTTAATAGTCTCCATTCCAATGCTCAATACTTATTTATTCGTTCATCAGTTGCTCTATCTGTGACTAATTCTGTAGTCAAGATTCGGTCTTTTTTTACTAAATACCTGATTCATCCTTGTCATGAGCGCTTTTGTTAATGTTTGAGATAAAATGAAAAAAGATTGTAAACGGTATTTCCACTTGATTTGGTAAAATTATGTGCTACTTTCAGTACAATATATAAGGATAGAATGAAGGGAGTTTTAAAACATGTACTGAATTGAACTGATCAAGCTATAAACGATGATTAATCACAAAACATGGGATCTTAAACCCACAATATGTCAAACCAAATCCATATTTTTACGTTTGATTGTCTCTTCCTCATAATTTTTCGGAGATATCAACCATATATACTTTTGAAACACCATCACGTATGGAATCTCTTACCCACAAAGTTAGCCGAGTTATGAACAATTTTGGTACAGTCCATATTTGCTTTGTGCATTTTTGGATTTTCCCCAATTATATGGCACAGCCGAGCGAGCCGTGTATTGCTAATCTCTTCTTTCTCTCTCCGACCATATCCCTTTCACGAGAGGAGGGATGGTTAGCCCACAGCACACAACACAGGGAAGTAGGTGCAAAGCCTATACACCTGAAACACGGATCTATAGTATCTATACACTCAACGCAGTTGTGCCACACGCGCGCAGCAAGTATACACACGTATATACAAGGACGAACAAAGTTGGGTGCCGAATTGCCGTCGCGACGAATCTGAAACTTCGGAACACACGTATAGTTGGAACTCCACGCTTAACCCTACGTACTGCCGCTGCATGCACCGCGCTTTGGCGTGGATTACGCTCAAACCGACGCTGTTGCTCGTTTTCGTCGCCTCCAGCTGTAGGTACACCGGAGGCCGTTGTGCAGCCACGTGTGGCTACACCTCTAATTGAAGTAGCGTGTAATTAGGAGGACCAACCTCAGACGCGAGACAAACGTGGGGTGCAGCTCTTAGAAGGGAGCCCGTTGAATTTGACTCTGTTGCATTAACGATCGCAATTACCTCTGCCACTTTGTGATCAAATTTTGTATCGAGTTGACGCATCGCACGCGTTGGGACGAATAAATGCCACTCTGTGCAACGATTGGTTACTTTGGATCGAACGACACAATCTCCACACATTTGCCTTTTTAATCACTTTGATATTTGATTTATTCTAAAGAAGGGCCCTTTTGCAGCGATCGTTCACTAAGTT